GCCTGCTGAAGACACAGACGTCCATCCCCGTGAACACTGGGACGGAACTCAGTGGGAAAAGAAATTATTCTTATTTCTTATTTCAACCGTTGCGTATATTAGCTGCGACATATGAATCAAGATGCTATGACCAAAAACATTTGATTGACAGATGACCGTTGATATATGATTGGATGAATTTAGGTGTTCAGGCTGATGTAGAACTAACTGGCCTGCAGAAGGTAACGAGAAAAAAAGATTTTAAGACAAGATTTCTTTAAAAATAGAAATTTTCTAAATTTAGGAACAATATAGTCTAATAAAGATTACATTTATATACATGTTTAAACCAGAATGATTTCACATTTACATAAGATTTCCCTAAGACTTTAAGGGATATGTGCAGTTCGTTAGCAGTTTCCTCTGCAGCAGCAGCTCAACACAGAAGACGACACATCTCATCTCATTGTGTCGTCTTCACACCTTTCTGACAGGTTGTTACAAGCTTTTTAATATTCTGGGGAAGCTGGTGCTGTGAAACAAAGGAGCTAAAAAGGACAAATAAGGGAATCATTTCTGCTGCAAAAACTGGTTTAATGGTTTTAATTACTTCAGACACGGTCATGCAGGGATTTCGGGGAAAATGCAAATGATTGTGGTCTTCCTTGTATATTTGCACTTTGCAAACGTTGCAGCAGCAGGAGAAAAGTGCTTCATCTACATGTTCATAATCTTGAAGTATGTCAGTGGTAGGATATGACAGGTGTTGGTGAAAAGTCTTACGTTTCTCCATCCAGTCCCTCTTCTCGCTCCGTTATGGTGACGGTCTGGTTGTAAATGGCCGACTGGAACACGTGGCCCTGAATAAAAGAAAAATGGAGGCATAAATTCACAGATCCATCTGCTCTTAACGCCACTCAGAAAAACTGTAAGATATTGGCAGGACTTGACGTTTAGGATTTTTACCATTCATTTGCCCAGAAACAATTTTTACTTGCCCAGTATAATGTTTGATAAATATAGTTCCTAATATTCATTTTTGTATATATATCAATGAAACATATTTGTTTTTTAAATGTTTTTTTGTAATTCAGTATTTTTTAATTTTACAGGTTCCTGGTGTGTATATGCATGCGTCAGATAATGAACTCAAGCCTACATTACCGTGTTAACATGCTTTTCAATCCTTCCATTCTTTTTAAACTAAACTTTGCTTTAAACTGTTGTGTGCTTGGGAAAAATACAAATTGTAATGTTAAAAATCTAAAAAAAAAACTTGACAGGTTAAAAACTTAAGATAAATCACAAGATAGAAGTCAATGTCACAAATGAATAACTTATTTTAGAGTCACAGTATGTTTATACAAGATAATACTATTAATATAATGTGACTTTTCTAGAGAATCATTATACAGTTATACAGTTTTACACAGCAACAAGACAATCATAATAACATAACAGGTCACCAATTTAGCATGCTTAGCTCTATAACATTTAAATGCACCTCTCAAATGTCTAAGAGAAAAAAATTAAATGAAGATTTTTTTATGTATGACCTGCATCACTGTACAGAAGACTGCCATATGAAAGCGCTTTCTAGCTTGTTTGTCGTTTTGGTAACTACATCAAAATTACCGCTAGGTTGAGAAAAATCACGCCATCTGGCGGAAAATCTCGCGGCTTTTTCAAATCACGCGTCTTTTTCAAATTGCACAAGAATGTGTACAAAACAACAAAAATGGCGCCGTCTGGGTCGTTTTCAGCTAATGTCGGTGATTTTAAAGTAATTTTGAGTGATAAATATACTTTTTTGCGATCACTGCACTCGCCCGGCGGGCAAACGCAATTAAATTTGTACTCTCCCGACAATAAAAAGCACTTGCCCAGGGCGATCGGGCAATGGTTAACATCGAGCCCTGGATATTGGGGTATAAATCTTTACATTTTTAATACATAACTAGGTCCCTTTAAAATGAATAATAGAAAAAAATACCCATTTAACCCTTTATAAGGCATTAAACATTTTAAGTCAAGAGTGTAACTGGAAGACGGAACAAGATTTTATTACTTTTGTAACATTAAAAAAATATCATTGCAAAAATTGAGGTCAGTGTAAAGCCAAAAACTTCTTTTATAAGAAATTTGAGAAAAACACTTACAGAAACACATTTTTTGTTACAACATAAGCTTTAAAACATTAATGCTGATACATGTACTTAATTGTTTTAACTCTATTATGAAGTTTAGACCTTTTCTTACTTAATTTACATTAGCTAACATGTGACACACAGTGGACATCATTAGATCACTATGAAGCAGTTACATTCAGCTGTAATAGACAGACAGGGGAGGACTTTGAAGACCACATTTGACCTCACCATTTTACCTACCATGCTGCAAAGTGATGTTTAGATTCTAGTTACCAAAAAGGGTAACTTGGATGATAATAGGTTAAGTTGTTCTTTTCTATAAACACCTTTTTCCCCCCCTCTAAACTAGATGAAATTAAGAGAATGAATGGAATTATCCTCGTTGTAAAGTGACACAGAAATTGTTTACAAAAAATCTCAAAAGAAACACATCAACTCTGTCAAAACTACTGAGCTGATGATGGATTTGCTAAGTTTAAATTTAATAATTACTGATATCAATTTTCCAGAAAGTGACTGAACAAACTGGTGAGAAATGTCACTTCCGTCCTAGCCTGCGCTGTGGACAGTGGAGGAAGTGGCTGAGAGGAGAATACTGTCCAAGCTTACATCCATCATGGAAAACACCTTCCACTCTCTGCACCAGACTGTAGAGGAGGAGCTGAGCAGCTCCTTTGGTGAAAGACTTTTAGTTCCTGTTTGTAAAAAGGAGCGCTACCGCAGGTCATTCATCCCTGCTGCAACCAGACTCTACAATGAGACACTACAACGACAATAACTTTAAAAATGTATAATGTGCTATTTACTCTATGATACCCAGTGCAATAACTATATATATATAAATATCTTGATAAATTTCCAGATCAGTTTCTGAAAATCAACTGAAAATCATATACAGTCGTATGTTTACATTTTATCCCTGCTGCACTTTAAAAATGATAATGTATTCAGAGCTGCCCTGAACGGAATTTCTTTTTGTATACACTCTGTGTGTAAAAAATTACAATATAGTCTGTTATGATTCCACCATAAAAAACAAAACAAAAACAAAAACAAAAACTGTCATATGTTTCTTCCTTTAGCACTTTCTTCTCCTTTTTGACTATTTGAGCCGATGTAACGAGTAGACTTCTCCACTGTGAGATCCATAAAGTCAATTAATCAATCAATCAATCAAATGAAACACAAATCAGAAATTGTTGAATGGCAAAAGAAAAAAAAAAATCTTTGTAAGAAAATTACTGACATCTAGTGGTGAAAATACGTATTGCAACCAATCTTTGGCTGAAAAAAAAAAAATCATAGAAAACAGGAGCCCTTTCCCCTCACCTCAGAGTCCAGGTAGTTAAGGAGGATGACCAGACCGAACGGTCGGCCCGCCATGGGCTGAGCCGGGATAAACGAGTACTCGAAGGAGGCCTGAGCCTGGGGCTGGACCACGGTGTTCAGGGGCAGCGCCGTGAACTGCAAAACACACAGGATAAGACCATCATACTCTGGATACAGACTTAAAATTTAGTCAATATACTCCTTTTTTTTTTACTTTGTCAAAATAATCAAACAACGTTTTAAGAGAGATTTGTTCAGTATTATTTGAAATCTGCTGCTGTCTGACTTTTCCTGAACAACTCAAGAAGATATCTCGGATACAGATGTGAAGGAATGAATAGAAAATGTGTGATGATGGTAATTCTGGACGCCACTTACGTTCTGAATGTAGAACTGGAAATCTTGGGGATAACGGAAAGAAGCTTCCAGGGACTGAACTGTGAAAGTCTGGCCTCCTTTATTGGTGAAACCCACGAGGAACCTCACAATTTCATTGGCAAGAAACTCTGAAAACATCACAAATTACTTTTAGCCATCAGTCCCATCACTTAAAATGTCAGTTTCACAATATTCTACTTTTATTAATTAATCATTTATTTAAAAAAACAGATAAAAAACAACATTTGAGCAACCTTCGCCTGTGGTGAAGATGATGGTGGTGTCTGCATCAGGGTGGGAAGTTACAACTTTTTCATCCGCTTCATCAGGGTCGTCTTCTCCTCCGTCCTGAAGGCGAACACAGAACCGCTTCGTAACACAGCAGCGCATGAATCCCTGCGGCATTTCACAGACGTCCTACATACCGGGGTTTGGATTTGATCTTCGTCAACGAGCATCTCGTCTTCATCTTCCTCCTCGTCTACAGCAGCATCTGCATCCTCAGCGGCGTCCTCTGCAGAGTCTGCCTCTGCATAAACTCGACCTGCAAAGAAGGATCCCAAACATTTCAGCCTTGGATCCCCAGAAGTAAAACAATGCAACAGGCTGAGAATCCCCTAAAAATACATTTATTGATACAAAATGTTAAATAAATAAAATCTAAATGATATTTAATCATTTAAAATCCTGTTTAAAAGTTTTTAAGGATATTTAATTGTGCATTTTACTGTTTAATTGTACATTTAATATAAGAATCATATAAATAAATGTTTCGTCTACTTATTTCCTGCTACATTTATGCATTTCATTCACGTTTAGTCTTTTATGATATATTTTTGCCTTCCATGCACCTCATGGATCACATCACAGTGACTTGTGACCCCTCACTTTGGGTCTCATGCTGAAGTAATATCTTCTAAAATCCCAATTATTAACTGAGATTATTATTCTCAATAACATGAGTTTTACCTCATTAGGAGATATGTGGAAATTAGGAGTAAAACTAACACATTTTAAAATGTATTTATTAATCTATTAATGCAATAAAAAAGTTAAATCGCTTAGTTGTTACAATTTATATGATTTAATTTTAGTGTCCATGTTTATGGACACAAAATTTATGGGTCTAAAAGTTTAGTCTCACAGAGATGATTCCAAACATTTTAACCAACCATACGAGAGGTGTTCAATAAGTAATGCCCCTGACCCACTTCCAGATGTTTGATCGACCTGAAATTTTGCAAGTGAAATTATTTAAATCTCTATAGATTAAGTAGCAAATTAAATTGCTCTGAACTATTTGTGGTTTCTGACTTACATGTGTTTGAACTGAGTAAACTCTGAAATTTAGCCTTGTCGAGCAGTGATCCGGACTCGCACCACGGGAGACTTTTGATAAAATTAAAGCAACTTATGGTGATGATGCCCGTTATATGACCTTGCTAAATGTTTTACAAGGTTATATTATGGGACATTGTCACTTTAAGTTACTTTAATTTGATCAAAAGTCTCCCGTTGTGTGCGTTGTTTCAAATACAAAAACTCAGACCTTCTCACATGCAAAATATACACACATATATACACATACACACGTATGTATGTATGTATGTATGTATGT